CCCGGGCCGGGGGGCTCCCCCCGCCGGGCAGGGGAGGCGCAGCCGGCCCCATCCCACCCGGGCGAGGGGCAGCGGGGGCCGCTTCACGGTTGCTGGGGCGACGCAACGCTCCTGGCAATAACATCACCGTAAATCAGCCGCCAGACAGCTCCGGCGGGAGCCGAGGAATCCCGGCCGCACCCGCTGATCTCAGCGCTCCCGCACCGCCACGGTGCGGCACAGCTGCGCTCCAGCCGAGGCCTTGCCGGCATCGCACCTCGGGCTCTCTGCGGGCTGGGGTACGCCCACCGCATGCTTGGGCCAGGGAGGGCGCGCGCCCCTGCTTTCCTGCACCCGACGCTCCCCAAGACGAGCCAGCTCCGAGGGCTGGTGATGCCGTGCGTGGTCCCGACCGCTGCTGGAGCTTGAGCACCGAGCCCAGCGTCAGCACATGTCTCCGGCCACCGCAGCACGGACAGGAAAACCACCGCTGCTGAGCTCTGAGACCCCTCGTTGTAAGGTTGCACAACGGAGGCTCCTTCCTCAAAGCCCTCTCGTAGCAAATGATGGCTTCTCATCTGCAGGCCTGGCTCGGCTCAGCGGGGAGCATCTGCGGCTCCTCGCACATATGACAGCCCAGGGACCGCGGCACGGGACGGGTTTCGTGGGTCTCGGATCCGGTCCCTGGCACGAACCCATCGCCCAGCCCTGCCCTCGCTGGGAGAGGGGCAGGGGCGAACCTCGCCTCCCCGAAACGGGCACCGCTCCCTCCGTTCTGGTGTCCGGCCATCAGCAAGCACCGCCCCGTCACGCAAACCCACGGCTCCGTCGCCCCGCGTGGCACCCTGCCCGCTGCAGCCCCGCGCCCGCCGACGTACGGCATCGCGCGGCAAACCCAGACGTACGAGGACTCGCCGAAGGACCGCCTGGGCAGCACGGCCCTGCTGCCGCCCGGTCCCTGCCCGGTGCCCGGGGAGGGCGGGGGGCTCGCAGAGCAGCGGAGGGGTGGGAGAGCGGGCGGCCCTTCGGCGCGGCAGCTGGGTACCTCTGGGGCTGCCAAATTCCTCGGGCTTTCTGGCAGCGGCCCGAGGGGCCGCGGGGGGGGCGGGGCGGGG